CCTCCACTTTCATCAGGTTGCACAAGCAGCTTTAAACAAAGACAGCAAGTTATGTCCCTTTGTGACCTATTCATAACATCCGGTGTCTATTCAAACACATAACAAGAAGGATATGTCAATCCAGACTGAATTGGTTTTGCCTGCATGCACAGTAAGGGAAGGTGTGCCCTCTATGTGAACTTTTAGAGAGACTCTCCTATTTACCTTCTATGGCTATATTGTTAAGAAAGACCAGCTGCCCTGGGGACAACACCTCAAACATCAAACGTGAAAATGAAAGTTTAATTTCAAAGAATGGGCTTGAATAAGAAGGCAACTAGAAGTGGTTCCTGCTTGAAAGCAACCATGTAGAGAGGTGTTTCCCCAGGATGGAGGTACACAGAGGCCAATGCAAACTGTGGGCCAAGGGGGCTAAGATGCTTCTCAAGACATCAGAGGAATTTGGCAGCATTGTCCATCAAGTAATACTGGTTTTTCAGGCTCCATGACTGAGGGAGTTCATGGATTCTTGCTCCACTATTCTGAATATCAGAGACCAGGCAATGTGAAGCAGGGGAAAGTCCCTGCAAGGAGACCCTGAAAAGTCTCATTGCATAAATCTTTGAAGAAGTGTATAGTTTCACTGCAAACCCCAGGGTGTCAGAGGTGCTGGAATCATGAGATCATCTATTGAGAAAGCTGTAGGCACAGAGGAGAGCCACCCCAATAGAGAGACTACAGCAGGCGAACTAGAGCAGTGTGACTACCCGAGGTCTCTAGATTCCAGAACATGCACTCCGGCTGCTGTGAAGACCAGCCTCCAGCACTGCTGGGATCAAAGAGAATCCAAGGAATAGGAGTACTTCTTATCTGAGAGAATATGGGAAAAGACACATGCTTTCATTATTGCTTCCTTCTGACTTTTTTTTCTTTATTCTTTTGCTTCTTATTTTTCCTCTATATCTTTCCTTCTCTCATGTTTTCCTTCTAGCTCACTTTATTTTTTTCTGTACAGATTATATACCCCGGTAGAATCTCTGAAGCAATACAAAAATTACAATGTGGTTATAATCTATTTTTCAAGTGAATGATTATAATGAATATAGGTAACAACATGTTTCGTGTTTTTCTTACATTATTAAACAAAGTCATCCCAAGAACCTACATATATTTACATCTAAGTGCTTATTATAGATTAACAAAGTATGAGCAAGCGGGGTATTTTTTCAGTCAGTTCTTTTACTCTCAGGCTGCATATTACAGTTACAAAGAAAGGACCAATCATTTTATTATTTATCTCAAAAGGTAATCTTACAAGAAATCTTAGAAGAATCACAAATCTAAACTTTTATATATGAAAAAGAACCAGTCAGCTCGATTTTAAATCTTTAGGGTGCATACCCACTCATCAATATATACATGGAAGTTGTGGGCAGAAATAGGTCCAAAGAGGAATTAAGCAATTAATCATCATCTGTGATCACAAGTAATCCTAGCAAGGAAAGTACATCAGTTAAGAATAATTGGGCTGCTTTGTTTTTGATCCCTAGCCTAAGGAATCTATCACTCAGTTATGTGTCCTAGTGAACTTTAGATTGTTTTCCAATGTTTTTACCTCAAAGTCATTATCAAACCATCTTAATCTAACCTGAAGTGATTTTGAGGCTTTGTTTCAGCTCTGATGCACATCGAAACGTGGGAACACATCTCCCAATGATAAGATTAAAAGAACTTAAACGAGATGGGCAACTGGGACTCAGCTGATTTTCTCAATTATTAACATAAGCCACAGTCTATACAGCTCCTCTGCAGAAACTCGCGTGTTCTAGCTGTATGATACTTCCTTATTTTATGTTTTATATTCTGCAGCTTCTGTTTATCAGAGGCAGGGGTAACATTTTATTCTACCTTTACTTACGTTAATTTGACCACTAAACTAACCTCTATCACAATTCCTTCCTATATTTATTAAAAGGAGGCAGGTTATGGTTTAAAAGTGAAACATTTTGGTGTCAAGTTGATAAGGCATAGAATTTTGATGGCTAATAAGTGTTTCCAACTGAACAGAATCTAGTACCACCTAGGAGGCACACCTGTGAGGAATTATGTAGATTAGATCAGCCTGTATGCTTGCCTACACAGGATATTCTAGATGAAGCTAATTGCAATGAGAAAATCCATTTTAACTTTGGGGGCATCACTCCATGGGCTGGGTTCACTGGATAAAACGGAGGACACAATCTGAGCGTGAACACCCACTGATCTCTGTCTCTTGGCTGTGGGTGCAATGTAACCAGCTACTTCAAGTTTCTGTTACCCTAACTTCCCCATCACCAGAACTGTGTCCTCAAGATGTAAACCAGAACAAACTTTCTTCCCTAAAATTGGTTTGCTCAGACATTTTTTTTTTTTTGCACCGAGACACTTAACATCCTATCTGCATGCTTGCACGATTTCTCAGATGTCTTATTAAGGTATTAGAATCCAAGAGGGTGCACCTAAACAGACAAGCTCTCCCTTAACCATCTACGATTCCCCACCTTGATCTTTGTGTGTCTGAATCCATGTAGATTTTCTCTATTCTTTGTGGGACACATCAGGTATGTCTACAATCTTTCCCTTCTGTTAGAAGACTGCGAATTCCACAGCCAGATGATCTAGTTATTTAACTTGTGGTCAGAAATGTTGAATTGGTGAAGATTTGGAGGTGGGACATTCGTGTTGAGGCACGGTGCTAATCCTGTACCATGGCCTCAAGAAAAGAGAGTAGGAATATTCTTGGCTCTTTTCACAAGACCAAAGATGAAGAGACATAACACCAGATGTGTTCCCTCCTATACTTGTATTTGCTTAAGCTAACTGCCAACATCACCGTATGTTTTGATTGCTCTAATAATAAAAATGAGAGGTGCTTTATTTGCCCTAGTCTTGAACTCAAATGCTTGGAGTCCTCTTTATCCCCACACAGATCCTTGGTATCTTCTTCAATTCATGGAAGCTTAGTCTCACTGGCTTGGGTGAGTCAACAAACGACGTTCCCATTTATTGTCTTTCCAGCATTGACCTGATTCTTTTCTTTGTACAGGTTCAATGTTAACTTTCATTGGTGTTCTGCCCTTCTTATTATTAAGCCCCATGAGTGATCCTTATTTTTCTTCACCTTCCCAGTGAATGAGATCTGAACTTTTTCACTCAATACACTGGCAGCCCTCACCTGTGGGGACCTTTATCTCATTTATTATTCACTTGCAGTCCTCCAAGTTATTTTTCTTTCATTTTAAATTTTGTTTCATAGGTTTTTTTAAATTTTATTTATTATGTACACAGTGTTCTACCTGCATGTTTTGCCTGTACACCAGAAGAGGGCACCAGATCTCATTACACTTGGTTGTGAGCCACCATGTGGTTGCTGGGAATTAAACTCATGACCTCTGGAAGAGCTGCTAGTGCTCTTAACCTCTAAGCCATCTCTCCAGCCCCCCATTTATTTTTCTAAAGGATAAAGTAACAAGGTTGTTAATGGTCCCACAAGTTCCCTGTCCTTGCCATTTTTATTCTAATTGTGTTTTTCAAACATGCTCTGCATCTCTCTGATATGTTCTTGACTCCACTGGTTCACCAATCCAGAGAAGGTTTGCTTGTCTTCTTACAATTATATTGTTACTCCTAGCTTGACAATATTTTTTCCTCCAACAGTGATGTATTTCTCAATATCTCACTGGGCAACAAGCATTTCAGGCCCCAAATCTCATCTTAGCATCCACTTTTCTTGAACCATTCTTGTTGTTATTGTTACAGGTTTGGTCCCCTACAAAGTATCCTTTGACCTTTTATTGACTTTGGCTTGCACAGGTTGAGCCACCATGTGGTTGCTGGGAATTAAACTCATGACCTCTGGAAGAGCTGCTAGTGCTCTTAACCTCTAAGCCATCTCTCCAGCCCCCCATTTATTTTTCTAAAGGATAAAGTAACAAGGTTGTTAATGGTCCCACAAGTTCCCTGTCCTTGCCATTTTTATTCTAATTGTGTTTTTCAAACATGCTCTGCATCTCTCTGATATGTTCTTGACTCCACTGGTTCACCAATCCAGAGAAGGTTTGCTTGTCTTCTTACAATTATATTGTTACTCCTAGCTTGACAATATTTTTTCCTCCAACAGTGATGTATTTCTCAATATCTCACTGGGCAACAAGCATTTCAGGCCCCAAATCTCATCTTAGCATCCACTTTTCTTGAACCATTCTTGTTGTTATTGTTACAGGTTTGGTCCCCTACAAAGTATCCTTTGACCTTTTATTGACTTTGGCTTGCACAGGTGTTATTAAAAATGTGTTTCTAGATTCAGTCTCTCATGGAGGAAAATAAAAGAAGAAATTGACCATGGCTGTCTTTATAGGAAATTCTATAACCAGAAGTCTGCTTACAGGTCAATGAATATTGAGATACCTGAGAAAGAAAATGGATTAAATTGTTCACACCTTTTGCATATAGAAATTTTCAAAGTTTTTAGTAGTTTTATTAATATTTTATGTTTGGGAAAGCTGTAAAATGAGATTGCATTTTAAATTTTATTTCCAGTTGTTCATTGCTAATACGTAGGAAATATGTTTGCATTCTGTTGAAATTTTATCCATTGCCTTTGATATGATATAATGTTTACTTTAGCAATTTAAAAAACTATATTGGTTCAGAATATATAACCTACAAATAAAATGTTTTATTTTGGCCTTTCCCTACATTAAATTTTTTTGTCTTTTTCTTGCCTTATTCCACTGAGGAGTTTCATCTCTCTAACAGACAATAGAAATTGTTGAATTAAGTGACTGATGAAGTTCACCTTTATCTTGTTCCAAAGGTAGAAATATGTTTTCTCTACTAGAACTATGGTGTTAATTTCAGCATTAGACTATTTGCTTATTTGTGTGCTGTTTATTTCATATCAAGACTTGATTGTCTTTGGGAAGTCCACTCCTAGTTTCCCTAAGTTTTATTATAACAGGGCTTTAAGCATTCATCTCTTGAATAATTCTTTCCCTCCAAACTTTATTTTGAAAGTGCTAATAAATTTCTGATACAAGTCGGTCATATCATATTATTCTTCCTGTATGTTCCCAGACTTAATTTTCTCGGAGGTTGAAATTTGCCTGATTCATCTTTGGAAAAAGAGGCAAATTAGACTTCATGGTCTTTTTATGTTCAGTGAACTGTGTGCTTAAAAAGTACATGGTGATAAGCCATGAGTTAGCAAATGAGGAAAAGAAATCTGGACATAAGCACTAGGAGAATCAGAACTGTAGTCACATTATTGTTACTGTGTTTGAAGCAGGAGATGCTCATTACTTAAAGTTCCTCTGTGTGACAGCTGTGACAAAACACCATGGCTAAAACAAGTTATAAAAAGAAGGGTTTAACTTGGGGCTCTCGGTTCTGGAGGGTTAGAGTCCTTGGTTGTCGTCTTGGGGAGCAAGGCAGCAGGCAAGCAGACCTGCTTTGAGCGGTAGCTGAGAGCTCACATCTCAATTCACAAGCACAAGACGGAGAAAGAGTTAACCGGAAATGGTGTGGACTTTCAAAAACTGAAAGCCTGTCATCAGTGAAACAGCACCTCCAACAAGGCCACGCCTTCTCATCCTTCTCAGGCAGTTCCACCAACTGGGGACCAAGCATTCAAACATAGGAGCTCCTGGAGGCCATTCTCATTCAAACCAGCACAGCAGGATAGGATAGTAGCTAGAGATAAACAACTGTGGTAGCTACAAGCTTTCCTCTGGAAGGTCATTCAGCACACTTTCCACCTGTACATTACTGGCTGTCCCCTCACACATGACATTTTTCTCCCAAATGCAAGGTGAATAATAAACATACATCCCTTGTATGTGTCCGCAGTACATCTTACTTAAGTCAGGCATGCTTCCTTCAAACCTGTAAGAGAAAAATGAGGACACTTGGCGAGTTATATTTTGATTACACCCACAGAAGAGAATTTTCAACACAAAATTATTGTTTGTGCATTCTACTGTCTAAGTCAAATTTGAGTTGATGATTGGGCTACATATATGTGGTGCAAAACCCTTTTTACTTGACTTTCCACATCTGGAATATTTTCTTTTAATTCCAGACTAACCTTTCTTTCCATGGCTGTTATGATTTACAATAATGCCATGTCATAAGTCTATGCCTTAATTTCCCATAGTGAAACATTGGCACTATCTTCACCAAGTGTTTCAATAATAATGACCAAAGCTAGAATAAGCCTAATTTAGGAAACATCAAGTCCCTCATCATCTCTAATGAGGCAAATCCTTAGAGCAATGCCTCACGTACTCCCTTTTGCTATAGTAGTTTGCAAACTGGATGAGTGATCATAAGTACATATTTATAAATTAAAAACAACATTTTGATAAACATAACATAACATTGATTCTTGGGTCAATTAATAATGGTCATCACATAACTTCATCAGTTATTTTGGGAAGCAGAAGCAGCCCTGAGTATGTGAAGGCTTAAGCAGGTGTGTGTTATTGACATGAGCTGGCCATGTTGAGGACCATGGCCTCAGACCCACAGCAAAGTGGCAAAGCCTTCATCCTCCTGGGTGAGGCTTAGAAGGATGGCAAAGCCTTTCTCTCCCTGGATTGAGGCTCAAGGGGATGGTGAAGTCTTCCTCCTTCCCCCTACCCCCAGTGTGAGGCTCAGAGGATGGGAAGGCCTTCCTCTTGTCAATGTGCAATTGCTGATGGTATAGCAAAGTCCACCATAACATTCTCCCCCTGGGTATTTGTAGCCTAAAGAGTGTTCCTTCCCCTTCAGAGACTGTCCTATTGAGCTAAACCTGCCTCCTTAGTTTATCTGTATGAAATAGCACCCTCCCCCCAACAGTATAGAATAAACATACTTCTGAGATGCCTCAGGGACCAAGCATTCAAACATATGAGCTCTTGGGGGCCATTCTTATTCAAACCACCACAGCAGGATAGTAGCTAGAGATAAACAACTGTTTATCCACCAGGGAACCCAGACTTTCTGTGTGTGCATGTTTGCCTGTCTTTTCTTCATCCCTTACCACCCCAGTTAGGTCCACCCCTAAGGCAGCACAAGGTTGTAACAAGTTAAATTTTCAAGAATGAGATTTCTAAGGAACCAGAGAAATGGCTCTGTGGCTAAAATGGAGATCCCAGTGGACCTGAGTTGAGCCCCTGTTTATGGTGGCTCACAAGCACCTGTAACTCCAGCTCTGGAATGTACAATGCGTCTAGCTGCCGGGGTACCTGAAATGGTGTGTGAATATTCATACAAACAGATGCACTAAGAGACACATATTTAAAAGTAAAATACATGTTGAAAAAAAAGTGTTTTTCTATGATGTCAAAGTAAACATCACCATCTTCCAGAAAAAGCCCCCAAACAATAACACTGAGAATAACAACAAAATTTCACTCATACACACACACACACACACACACACACACACACACACACACACCACATATATATAATGATTATTTAAGGATTGTTTGATAATATCAAACATTCACTGATAGTATTCCCTTATTGTAGTGGGAGATGGGGGCAGGGGAGCTCTGCAATTTAGCTGGCTTGAATTCAGGGTGTTAGCATCTGGGCTTTGAACTGCCTTTTGTGACTGTTAACTTTTGTGATGAAGGAACAAGCTTCCCTTTTGGCAGCCATAACAGCCGAACAGAGATCAGATGCCTGTCTCGTGACAAGGAACCCATCAGAAGTTAGTCACTAGAAAGTCAGATGCCTGTCTCGTGACAAGAAACCAATCAGAAGTTAGCTGGTGGCACTATGCTTTACGACCCTGGGTGTGCTTTACGGACAAGCGCACAGCAATGACGTAGAGAGCATAGCAACCACCCTGGGAGGGCCTATGGGCCATAACAACCAGTTGACCAATCAACACAGGGCAAGCCCTCCAAGGCTGGAGGCCCACCAATCGTAAGCCTGTGCATACCCCTAGACACTCCCCTTACACTGTCCTATAAGATTTTTTGGGAGCCCCTAGGAGCCGTCTTTTCTGGCCATCCACCATGGCGGGTGGATGAAAGACCCGAGCTAACATGGGGTTAGCTCGTTAAATTACAATAAAGCCTCGTGCAGTTTGCAGCAAGCTCTCGAATCCGCCTGGTGATTGGGGTGACCGCGAACGTGGCCTGGGACCCCGGATACTTGAGTTTTCGGGGGTCTAACAGTGACAGCTGTCTTTTGTTTGAAGTGTCTGAAGCTTATCTGACTTCTTCCTGAAACTTCCAAAGCCTCTGCAAAAACTGGTTGCAGAAGAACTCTGAAAACTGAAGGGTCTGGTGACTGAGAATTGCTTTGACACTTGTTTCCTTTGGGAACTTCAGATAAGAGGTTTTCATATGCAGGACTTGATTTGCTAAGGTGAAGATGGTATAACACACACACACACACACACACACACACACACACACACACACACCGGGCCTTTTATCAAGCAGTGACAGTCAGGTCACCAGAAACTGGCTCCTCTGCTGCTGTTAAGCCAAAATTCATCTTGGAGTGACTCAATGTCTTCCACAGACCCACCAAAAAACACAACACCGACACTTGGTGGGCTTGCAGAAAGAAGGGATCCAGTTGCTCCAGGACTGAGGGTTTTTTGTTGTTGTTTTGTCTTTGTTTTGTTTGTTAGATTGTTTTGTGCATTTTCAGGGTATGAGGAGTCCAGGATTTGTCAGGGTCATGGGGAATTTCCCCCTCTCAGAAGTGGCAACAAGTGAAATGGCTCTAAACAAAGACTAAATCAAGGGACAGACCTTTTTAAGTAGAGAAAAGAGAAGGGAAGAAAACAAAAAAGAAAATTTCTCAATGGAAATAGAAAAAATAATTAAGAAAAGTGATTTCCCCAGTAGAAGGGAAAATGTTGAATCAAGGCCTAGAAATAAAAAGTCTCCATAAACAAAAAATGAGGGAAAGAAACAAACAAAACAAAACAAAACAAAACTATTTCCAGTAGGAATAGAGGAAGGAAAAGTCTCTTTCCAATAAAAGGAAGAAATTCATGATAACTGCAACTCAGAGTTCCCTGGCTCAGGCTACCTGCCAGCTCTTGCAGTCAAGGGCAGACCAGCACAGAGAGGTGGTATCTGAATTTCAAAGTAGGATGGATGAGGCTTAACTGCTTCATCCTGAGCTAGTACAGCTGGCCCAGAACTTAGAATTTTCTTGTTTGTTTGCTTCCTTAAATTTGGTTTAAATTTTTTTGCCTCCCCCCACCCAAATAGCAGGAATAGCTCACTATCAATCAATGGTTCATTGATGGGAGAAAAAAAAACTAAAACAAGCCCAACTTCTGGAAAAAAACAAAACAATTGCAGTCAGGGCGTAAGTACTAGGCCAATGTTGTTGGAATTTCCAGAGGTATTAGTCATTCATTGTATGGAAGATGTTATCTTCTCTTGATCATCTGATTAATGCTCAACTGAATGTTTAATTTTCATAGTAAATGAACTAAAAGAGCAGAATTCATGATTTTGAGCTATATTATTGGATATGTTCTGGTCTGTTTATCATTATTGAGAATTTGCCTCTGCTCTTTAAGTTGCTGTCTAAAAACTCTTGGCTAAATTCCATAAAAATGTAGCAACTGAAACAGAGCGGTTGTTAGCTTATTAAATAATATGGCTGCTAAGGCAAACATTCATAGAAATAATCTCTTGCTGATAAAGGGCCTACGAAAATTGCTTTTCCACTAAATAAAATGCAGATAATCCATTATTAATAATTGACAAGTTACATTAATGTGTCACTTGGGATCTATAAAAAGGGATCCTCCTTTTAAGATTTTATGAAAACATTCCTGGATATTGCCTAAAATTACCTCTTAAAATCCTATAGAGATTGTTTTTAATTCTTCTATAGATGGCTTCTATAAAAAGGACTATGCAGATAGAAGCTGATGATAGAATTGCTCAATTGTTGTTACTCCCATATCTTAAACATAAAGCAGCTCCAATATCTAAAACAGGAGGTGTTATAAGCACTGGAAAGAAAGTATTGTGGCAAACTGTTATTAATGACAAGAGGACAAAACTAAAATTACAAGTAGATGGCATTGAGATTGAAGGTTTAGTGGACACTGGAGCTTATGTGTCTGTAATATCTCAAGAGTCTTGGAATCCCAACTGGCCTTTAGAAGATGTTTTCACTGAGTTTGGGGGCATTAGAATATTATCTCAGATGAACAAAGTGTAGAATAGACCAAATGTATAGGGCCTGAAGCACAAATAGGGATATTAAAGCCTTATATAAATGATATAGCCACAAATTTATGGGGGAGAGATTTGTTACAACAATGGGAAACTCCAATTAATATTCCTCCAATTTCAGAAACAGCCCATAAAATGTTCTTAAAAATGGGATACATTTCTGGAAAAGGCACAAGAAAGAATTATCAAGGAAAATCATAGGTTGTACAGGTTGTCCAACAACATGGGAAAAAAATGAATTAGCTATCCAAATTTCGAGTATGGGCTGTATAGTGGAAAAGACACCTATTTCTGGGTCTCTTACATTTTATACTGACACAAATAAATTAGAAATAGTTGGTTATCAACCAGAAAACCTAAGTAAAGTAATTCATAGTGTGGTGGTATCTTTCTTGCACAAATAAAGCTTGTCTAAGGGTCAAAGAATGGAGCTTGCTATTAGCTAACTATAGAAGCCTGGCTTTATTTGTGCAAGAAAGATATCACCACATATAGCCCATATGCTTCTGTTCAAAAATCACAGTTATATGCCATTTTAATAGACTTTAGAGAACCTCTTAAAATAATTGTTGATTCTCACTATGTATAAGAGGTTATATGGCATATAGAAATAGAAACTGTTGAACTTATTCCTGATAATTCAGAATTAACTTTGCTATCCATGCAACTGGTATTGTCTGGGTTACTAGCAAAATGAAATGAAGATGTTGATCAATTACTAATAGGAAGTGTGTTAAAAGCTTCAGAATTTAATAAGAACCATCGTGTTAATAGTAAAGGCTTAAAAAAATTCCATTACTGGTCAACAGGCTAAGGAAATTATTAAAAACAAAATAAAACAAACAAACAAAAAACTGTACTACTTGTTCTTTATATAATCAAGTTCCTTTACCTGCAGTAAGTAATCCTAAAAGTATACACACACACATACATACACACACACACAGAGAGAGAGAGAGAGAGAGAGAGAGAGAGAGAGAGAGAGAGAGCGCAAATGTATGCATTTCATTTAACAGTATTTGAAACTTCAAAATAGATACATCATACCGCTGATACACACTCTGGGTTTCAATGGGCATTGGCTGTAAGTTCTGAAAAGGCTGATTCTGTAATTACACATTTATTAGAAGTAATGGCTATAATGGGCATATCGATATAAATTAAAATTGATAATGCTCCTCCTTATGTTCCCAATAAAGTAAAACAAGTTTTTGCACGTTATAACATAAAACAATTTACAGGGATACTGTATAATGCTACAGGACAAGCTATTGTTGAAACATCTCATCATGCTCTAAAAGAGATGCTTTTCAAACAGAAGGAGGCTACGAGGACTCCCAGGGAGAGATTGCATGATGTTTTACTAATTTTAAAGTTTTTAAATGCTAATGAAGCAGCTGCTGAAAGGCATTAATGAACCAAGTCAGCCTGTGTATAACAAGGATGTTTTAACATCAGAAGGGAAACCAGGGAAAGTGTGATGTTAAGGCTAAGGGTGCTGTTTTTCACTGTGCAGGGAAGAATCCATTCAGTTCTTTTTATAAATTGAAGCCACTTACTTTTCAAATATTTGTTGTTAATTTCTCCTAAGAAATTGTTATAAGCTTGGCCAATCATCCGTAATCATCCACAATTGCATAATTTCAGCATTAGCATAGGGTACTACAGTCTCAGCTGGGTCCCTTCCTGTCACTGACAAAGTGGTGATGAGAATGCAGAAATCACAGTGCTTACCCCAGGATGGTGGTATTCTTGCATATCCAATGCATAATTCTGGATTCAATCCCCAGTATTGGAACAAACATAGAGAGGAGCTAGAGAAATGGTTCAGTCATTGAAGAGCACACTGCTCTTGCCCAGAAGTCAAATTCAGTCCCCAGCACCTGGCCCACAACTGCCGGTAACTCCAGGTCAAGGGCTCAGAGGCCCTATTACAGCTTGTGTGAGCGCTGCACTCTTGTGCACCTGTGATGAATGTGGGGCCTGCAAAAATACCCATCAGACCCAGACTAAAGTTTCTTTGCTAGACTCATATTCTGTTCCTCAAAGTTCATGGCTTATAAATACAAGCAGAATTTTCATGTGGCTTTGTAATTAAGGCCTGAATTTGTTCTCATTAAAAAGCAGAACAAATACAATGCACAAATCCAGTTATTGCAGCCTACTTATAAATACCTTCCTAAATATGTTAACAAGTGATAAACGCACTTACAAATCATTCAAATCTATGGAGGAGTTTGTATTAGTTTTATACACTTTAATGTTCGTTCGGTGAGACTTCAAATAATGCACTCAACAGTCTCCACTTCAGGGCTGTGGAGATGGTTTAGTCGAGTCCTGGCCTAGCAAGGACAAAGACTCGAGTTCAGTCCCTGATCCCTTGGATAAAATCGGAGCTGGCAGCACAGGCTCATAATCCTAGCATTGGGGAGACATAGACAAGCAGATCCCTGGGGCTCACTGGCAACCTAGACTTCTTGGAGAGTTCTGGGCCAGCGAGAGATTCTGCCTCAAAAACAAAAAGTGGAAGACATCTGAAGAATAACTTCAGAATTTGTCCTCTGACTTGCATTGATTACACACATATAGACGCACACACACGCATGCACACGCTTGCGTGCACACACACACACTCATATACACACATATACCAAACAAGTGCACCTCATATATATGCATCACACACACGTACAACACACACACACACACACACACACACACACACACACCACACCACACCCATACACACAAACAAATACATACAGCCCAAGTTTAGGTAATTCAGAGCTCTGTCAACATTTCATTCACCTTTGAACTCCAGAATATAGAACAATATTAAGTACTTAATGGCATTTAGTGAATGGTTTTGGTTTTTGCAATCTTTAACTATAAGCATTAATTATATACAAAAAAAACATAAGTACACACACACAAAAAAATCCATAATTCGATTACTGTGGGTTACTGGAGATTTGCCAACCTAATGAATCAACATGTGTGGCCGTTGTCTACATAATCAAACGCATCACCGGAAGCCTTCGGGTGGGGGCGGTTGCCTTTAATGATGTGGTGTCAGCTGAAGCTTCTTTTAAAGGCGCTCTGCCAAACCCCTGAAGATGTGTCTCCCTTCAAGCCTAACCACAAAAATCCAACAAGAACAGAGACTTACCCTGCAGAGAGAAATATTGTCTCAGTCAGTTTCTCAGATTTTGCCTGGTCTTTTCTGGGCGACAATCCCAGCCAATAATTATTTAACCTTTCCGACTTTACAAATTCCTAGAGAAATAGAGATGGCAGGTTTAAGAAGCTGTTTCTTATGTATTGCAGGCTACTGTTTTAACATTAGAGTTTTGTTGTAGCATTACCACTTTTCAATGTCATTTAAAAGAAACAGAAAGTCATTTTTAAGATGTCAGCACAGTTTCCTGCTTGCAGAAAGAAAGCTGGACCTGTTGTGTAGATACAGGAAGACTGAGAAGGAAACTCCAGTGCCTGGGGGCAGCTGCAGTCACAGAGTTGTGTTTTTTCAGGGCACCCTACAATTGCTCAAACAGTAAAAACCAACACCACCCCAAGCTAGTCAGGATCATGGCTGACCCTGGTAACTTCAAACAGCCCTTCGCTTCATTGTTATGATGTGATCAGCCTTGCATAAAGCTCGGCTTCTATAATGCATCTAATACCACAACATACCCAACTCTACCTGTGTAAGAACAGAAAGGGTCAATCTTGGCTAATCCTAGTTCATTCCAGAATCTCCCCTCCTAAACCCATGACTATCTCTTTCTTTTCTCCCAGTAAAACTTCTCATAAGACAAATTATGCAAACTCCCAGCAATGAGACATGGCAGCAGTCTGTACAGTAAGTACCAAAGTAAAACCGAAAGAGCAAACGCAGTCACATTACGTCATTCTGACAAGCATGGTCAGACACACCTGTAGCCAGCCCCTAAGTAGGCGTGGCTACAGCTTCCCCTACAGACTCTCCCTTGAGAAGCAACTGTGGGTTGAAGTCTCTGAGATCTCTTCAGCCTTCACCACTGGTGACAAAAGAACCTACTGGTTCACTGAATAACCTTAATATAGGGTCAATGAAAAGCTTAACAATTTCCCAGTTCTAAATATTTGGGTTGTGAATATTCAGACTGGGGCAAAGGAGGTGGCTAATGACTGCAAGCCAGACTTAACAGAAAAAGAGAGGTGAGATAGAGCTGTGCAACAGAGGCAGAGAAGAGCAGTGGCTACAGAATCCAGTATTTGCACAATTCTTTGCCCAAAGTAATGGGTTTTTCTGTTAAAGCCAGATTTTTTTAAAATAAGTAATTCTGATTACTTGATAAAGGTCAATGATACAGCATAATCAACCAAATTCCCTTCTCCTATAAAAGATGACCAAGTTTCTTATGGGAGAGAGGCTGAGCCATTAGGTGGATATATTTTTACTCCAAGATAACTGACTACAATCTAGGATCAGCAGCTCATACAGGTAATTCCAGCACTGGAAGGCTGAGGCAGATGGATTGCTGTAAGTTTGAGATAAGTCAGGACTACTGGGTGAGATTTGTCTCAAAAGAAAGAAAGAAAATAATAAAGAATTACTATGTGAGAGACCAGGACTATTTACTAATAAGTGAAACACAAAGACATTGTTTAGACCAGCAGCTCTCAACCTGTGGGTCACTGTCTCTTTGGGGATCAAATGACCCTTTCACAGGGGTCGCCTAAGACCACCAGAAATATCAGCTATTTACATTACAATTCATAACAGTAATAAAATTACAGTTATGAAGTAGCAACTGAAATAATTTTATGGTTGGGGTACACCACAACATGAGGAACTGCATTAAAGGGATGCAGCATTAGGAAGGTTGAGAACCACCGATTTAGACATAAACAAACCAGAGGATTCACTTTTCATTTATCCTAAATACTCTGAGCAATATGTCTGGTTAACATTTGCCTCCTCTCTATCAACCCAGTATACTTACTTAAACAAGTATTACCCTATCTGGCTTAACCTGTCTTTTTGTAAATAAATACTAGTAAATAAAAACTACAAAAATTGACAATAAAGAATCCACCCCTGCCTGTCTGTGTGTGTGTGTGTGTGTGTGTGTGTGTGTGTGTGTGTTGGTGGTAGTGAGCCCTAGCCACACTCTCTGTCTTTGTATAGCTATTCTGGAGCATACACAAGAAACCTGCTTCTATACTTCCAACTTGGAAATAACAGACCTGAGGATTCTGGGAGTTCCTGCTCTACCCTTTTATCTTGAAGCTTCCAAGATTCTGCTTAAGCTAAAGCCTGTGGGTTTTAGCTTGACTGTAATTTTCCCTGAGACAGATGTGCAAGTCCCACTCCCCTCCCCGTGCAACACAAATGATCCTGAGTCATGAGTGGGTCACTGTGTGTCTTCCCAACACGTCCCTCTTCACCCCTTATTTCATGATGTGAATTCCTTTCAGAGGGAACAGAGACATAGAAACTTACCAGCACACTCTTGTTCTTAATCTTCAGCAGGCTGGCATTCTGAACAGAACACTGTATTTCACTCTTTTGCCATGTTCTAAGTCCACCAAGTTTGAAATAACAGCTGTCTTTGTACCACTTTGAACCCTTTGGACAAGGTTTGCATTTGTGCTCTAGAAAGAGGACAGAGACATACAGGTTTGTGTGAACACTTGTCTATTGTTCCTTCACTGTCTATGTGACATTGACAAGATTTACTGTTTCTTCTCTTTAGGCCAACAAGAAAGAAACCAAGTCCTCTACATCTCTATACATCACCCTAGGAACATAACTTGGGCAAACAAAAAAGTTCAAGTACCTGGTCAGATTCAAATGTATTGCCCATTATTAAGAAACCTGGGTAGTTTTCCTTTGTTTGTTTGTTCTCACTTGCAGACTCTAAATATTAATCACAGCAAATGCTATCCAGAAAAAAAAAAAAATGCTATCCACTGAGCTACGTCGGTCTGCTTTTCCCAGCACGTGTCTCTCTGGCTTTCAACCCCTGGAATGTTTTAGAGGAGCCTTAGAAGCACAGGAACATAGTTTAGCCACAGAAATCGCACAATCGCCAGAAGGGAACACTCCTTCCCCTGGTTCCGTACATCACCTAGGATTCATTTCTTTGCCAGGGCCTTTCACTCCGTCAGCACTAGCTGAAATTTAGGAATGAGGTCATGTGTAGAGAGGCATCCTTCCCTACTCATCACCTCTTGAGCTTTGTGCCCAGGACAAGGGTGATAACGTGCCGATTAAAGAAACTAATAAGCCATCTGATGCTTCATTATGGAGACGTCAGAACCCTCTAATCTGGCAAAGAAATATCGATGACTCGTTTACCAAACACACTTCATTCCGCATTTAATATTGGCTCTGTAAGAGACTGATTCTTAAAGGTTTAGTTTTTTTGCCCAGGAAACAGCTTCGCCAGCAATATAGGGTTACCTGGTTCTTTTTTATACAGCTCACGACACAGCTGGGTGGCTGTCTTTTGCAGCATGGCAGAGAGGTTCCCAATTATCTTGGAGCTGTTGTGATTGAGCATCAGCTGTAGGGAAATATTTCTCTGAAGTTCTTCCTTGATGCCTTGTAGTTCATTTGATTTTATGATTTCTGTCTCCAAAGTTGTATGAACTCCAGGTTTAAAAAAAAAAAAAAAAAAAAGAAGAGAAGAAAAAAGTAGATGATTAAAAAAACATAAATTTTCAGCTATTCCTATGACCTTTGGAAATTTGGTGATTATTTTCCTTAAGAAATAGTATTAAAATATTAAAGTGGTAGAAAAAGGCTTCTTCTGTAGGAGTTATTGGAGGAGCTAGAGTATATGTTTATGGACTACATTATATTATAAGATGCTCTTTGGGGCATAAAGCCTTAATTCAAAGAATAAACATTTGTTCAACAACTCATGGCATTCAAAGTCAGCCATAAAATATCTATATAGATACACACATTTATAAATACGTCCAAATATATACATATGCAACACTATACAAACTCAGCAGGTTGCATTTATATATTTATTTATATACCTATACAACAATAATAATTAAAGACTAAGAGTCTATGAGAAAGAGCAGGCAGGGGCATGAGAGGGATTATAGGAAAAAGGGAGGAATGAAGCCACTATATTTTAATTGAGTTTAAACTTTCTTTTTAAAGAATGGGGTGATACATACATAATCCTCCTAAGACTCCCAGCCCAACGAGCATCAGAAGGCACAGAAGAATCAGAATCAAGACTGTTTTATGCTGTGAACAGGAAGGAGCAGAAGGTACTGTGAAAAGAAAAAGAGCACAGCGTTCAAGAAGCAGCTCACACCTTCACTTCATTCATTCACTCATTCATTGATCCTCCCCTCCTCTCCTTTCTTTTTTCTTTTTTCTTTTTTGGTTTTTCGAGACAGGGTTTCTCTGTGTAGCTTTGGAGCCTATCCTGGCACTCGTTCTGGAGACCAGGCTGGCCTGGAACTCACAGAGATCCGCCTGCCTCTGCCTCCCTAGTGCTGGGATTAAAGGCGTGCGCCACCAACGCCCGCCTCCCTCATCTCCTTTCTATTGTGTATTTTATCATGAAAAGTAATTTACGGGAAACCCAAAGACTTTATTTTTTTTTTCAAGAATAATCAGACAAGGTTTTATTTTGAGTCTTTAACTATGCTGTCTTACAACCCAGAATTGTTTGCTCATGAAAAGTCTTAAATTTCTTACTAATAAGACTGAGGCAATGATTTTTTTTTTTTTTTTAAAGTAAGAAACATTCAGGAAGTTCCTTAGAATGAGAAAGGTGTCACATATAAACAAAGACATTAACCCCTGGACTGATAAAAGATTCAAAAAAGTAAAGATACAGTTTATAAATAGAGAGGAGGAAGGAAAACGGAAGCTGCGGATAGAGTATCTCCTTGGATACATTTGTGGGAAGTGAGTGTCTGGAGGTTGAGGGAAGCCAAGTCAAGCTGAGGAGTCTCTTGGAAGGCAGAGGTGAAGAGGCTTGGCAGAGGAAGTCATTCTGGATGTTAATGAGTTCCATCCCTCTCTAACTCCAAGATGCAGAACAACAAAGCAGGCTCTCACTGGCTATGTCTGGGCATCCCTCATCAGTTCTCTGCCTTGCTTAGTCTGGGTCTGCATTTCTCACTACAACTTTTTCAATATTTTCTGTGATTTTCATTATTTTCTGAACAATGAATCATAGACTAGACCATTTTCCCATAAGTAATTGTGAATTACTGTTAAGGTAGGTGTTGTGCCAAAATTCTGAATCCCCAAATCACCAAGAGGCCCATTTCGATGCAAAAGCAATGAGTCTTTTATTGTAGTTGTTTAACGAGCTAACCCCTTGTTAGCTCAGGCCTTTCATCCACCCACCATGATGGATGGCTGGGGAAAGATGCCGAGAATCCAAGGGATAGAGATCTTATAGGGCAGCATAAGGGGAGTGTCTAGGGGTACGCACAGGCTCAGGATTGGTGTGCCTCCAGACTTGGAGGACTTGCCCTGTGTTGATTGGTCAACTGGTTGTTAAGGCCCACAGGCCCTCCCAGGGCAGTTGCTATGCTCTGCCCGTCATTGCTGTGCACTTGTGGGTAAAGCACACCCAGAGCCGTAAAGCATAGCGCCACCAGCTAACTTCTGATTGGTTCCTTGCCATGAGGCAGGCACCTAACCTCCTAGTGACCAAGGCAAGGTCAGGCAAGCATGAGTTTGGCTGTTATGGCTGCCAAAATGGGGAGCTGGTCCCTTCAAAAGCATTACGATGATTTAAATTATCACCATATATAGATATATGAAAACATTGTTTCAAGAAATTAATTAAGGAATTACCTAATATTCTTACTCCGTTCCTGAAATTTGTCTTATCTATGTCAACAGCTTATAGCATAACAATGTTGTAAACTCTCACAAAAGAGACATATAAAACATAAAATTTGATTTCTTACTATTTTGTAAAATTTTTGTTAGTGGAAGTACTATAAATCTTCCACTCCTTGTCTGAGGTTCAAAATACACAGTTATGAGCTATCTTTTACCAGAATTATTATTTCATTTATGTATTCAATTATTTAAAAATTATCAGTTGTGTACTGAAGGGACCACACTCCCCCTCCTGGTTTGGCAGCCATGACAGGCTAACACATGCTCGCCTGATCTTGCTGGGCCTGCCCTGGTCACTAGAAGGTCAGATCACCACAGGGCAGGTTGTCCAAACCTGGAAGTGCACCAATTCTGAGACCGTTTTGGTACTCTAGACACTCCCCTTATGCTGCCCTGTAAGATCCCTGTCTCGTGGTTTCTCGGGGTCTTTCTATAGCCATCCACTCGGTGGATGGATGAAGGGCCCAAGTTAATGGGGTTAGCTCGTTAAACAAATGTGATAAAAGATTCCATTTGTTCCCGAATGAATGAGGTCCTTGCTGCAGCTCGAATCCTTGAGTCAATAAAGAAAACTTTGTCCTTGCCTTCAGAGAGTCATCTCCTTGGCGGTGGGTTCTTTTGGAGTTCTGCAATTTGGGCACAACATGTACCATTTAGGTACTAAACATTCTTGTGGCTGCTAATAAAACGAAATAAAAAGGTGTACATGTTAAGTGGTCAGATTGATGCTTATTAAAGTGATAGGGAACAAACAGCTAAATGCTTTATAGATAGATGATAAATAGAAAGATAGATGATAGATAAATAGATAGACAGATGATAGATGATAAATAGATGAATTAATAAATGATATATAGATGATAAATAGAAAGATTGATTGATAAATGATAGATCAATAGATGATAGATAGATGATAGATAGGTAGATAAAAAATAGATATTTGAAACCCACATATCTTAGAAAGTATGTGGTTTAGATGTCATTGACATTGGGAAGAAATGTGCAGAATTGGTGTGAAGAACATGGTGGTAAGATCACCCAGCTCAAAGACTGTAATTCAGGAGAGATATTTTTACTTGTGGAACAGAAGACGTTGAGAGTAGCTAAATGCCCTGGCCAGTGGGGCTCCGGTAATTCGTGGGTTCAAGGTGAACTAAGCCTGAAAATAATGGGTGAGAAAGAAAGAGCAGGACCAAGCAGTTTTCTCTTGTGAAGGTCTCTTTATTGAAGTCCCACAAGGAGTTTTTAAAGAGAAAGGAGGAAGCAGAGAGAGAGAGGAAGTGGGGGAGGTATGAGTGTTAATTGCTCTCAGGCCAGGCCAGGTGTCCGGAAAGTCCTGTGGTTGTCTCGAACACTAACCTAAGGGGTGGGGTGCTTGACTAATTAGCAGTTTAGCATGGAGGTCGACACGCCTCTGTAAAGGGGACTTTTATATCTGACCAGAGCTGGCTCCTGACAGCTAAAGACTGTCCTATAGTAGAAGGAATGCTCAGGGAGTTTAAAGCAAAGCCAAATCTGCCTGTGGAAGAGTGGAGCAGGTGCTGCGGGCTGGGAAGAAGTCATGAGAGGATACTTAGAAGGCATGGTACTGGAAGCTGAAAGGCGTGGGATGACATTAGGGCTGGAGAGATGGCTCAGCGGTTTGGAGCACTTGACTGCTCTTGCAAAGGTACTGAGTTCAATTCCCAGCAACCACGTGGTGGTTCACAACCATCTATAATGGGATCAGATTCCTTCTTCCGGTGTGCATGAAGACTGAGCACTCATATACATAAAATACATGAATAAACAAATCTTAAAAAAAAAAAGAAACTATATTGAATGGCACAAAAGAAGGATGGAAAATGCCCTAGAGTGAGTCACCAAAAGCACAAGCAAGACGTCAGGACAAGCAGATCATCAACACCAACTCAACCACAGGAATAATGAAATTCAGGAGAATATGTTCCAGAGAACACCCAGTGTGAAGGAATTTCACTTAGGTTTTGGTGTGTTATGAGTGTTGTGTTGATTGTGTCATGTTGTACTGAAGGGAGAGCCTCACACATGCTAACTAAGTGCTCTAGCACAAAGCTCTACCCTCAATTCTCTTCTTACCTCTTATTATGAGACAGAATCTCACTAAACTAACTGCCCAGGGTTGACTCTGAACTCACTCTGTGGTCCAGTAAGGTCTTGAACTTGTAACCCTCCTGCCTCAGCCTCTGTAGTAGCTGAGATTAGAGAACTACTCCCTCAAGGCTAGCAAAGAGAGTGATTTTTAAAGGGAAAGTTCGGCATTATGAAAACAGTAGGGAAGTATAGCAGTGAAAGCATAAAGGGAGGGGGTGGTGAGAGAGCTCAGGAATTAAAGGCGCTTGCTTTTAAGGACTCAAGCTGAGTTCACATGGTAGAGGGAGAGGACTGACTCCTCAAGCTGTCCTCAGACCTTCACACATGCACACGCACTCATACACATGCTTGCACACACACATTAAACACACAAACATATACACAAATTAAGTTTAATCTAAATATAAAACAAAGAATGGAGATCTGAATGCCAGGACAAAACAAGGAAGCCCAGGAAACCTGGGCCAGAGCCAGCTCTGTGAACAATGAGGAAAGACTCCAGATAAAAACTGTTCTACACACACACACACACACACACACACACACACACAGTGTTCTCTCCCACTTTCTCTTTTTCCTGTTCTGCAAGCATTTTACTTTTCAAAACTATAAAAACAGGAACATATGAGTCTATAACTTTACTACACAATATATAGTCCTAGTTCCATGGCTTCATATAATAAACACACAACAACAACAACAAACAAACAAAAATAAACCCTTCACAATAAAACACCAACATTTCTACACAGAGATGCCCTGTCTTGCAAACAAACAAAAAAACACCACATTTGAAAATAGCATCCTGTACCATGCACCAAGTTGAATACTTTAAAAGAAAAACTGTAATTGCAATGATTTATGCCTTAAAGAAACAAATCTCTATAATCACTTTGGTACTCTGAGTTTAAGCAAAAGGCTTAATTAAGAATTCACACTGAGTAATCGAGAGATTTGAAGTGTGGGGCTGTAACCACGGCCACAGCCTTTCATCACATCCACTGCTCACAATCTTACCTTCCCCCCGATGTTTTTCAGACTTCTGCATATTTTCTTTCTTAACAGAGTCCCGCAATTTGAGATGTGCATAAACAATTTCTTCAGACATTGCTCAAAGAAAGCAGATTATCCTTTGAAAAAGGTGAGAGAGAGCTGAAGGATGAATAAGTCTATCTGGAATTTTAATTTTCTGTGTGTAAACTGAAGTTAATCTCACAAGCTAGGATTTCTTTTTCAAAAACCCACTGTGCCAGTCTCTCAAATATCTGCTCAAGAGCCACAGACAGTTTGAAACCTCAGACAAGAACAAATAAAAGTCAAAAGAGGAAACATCTTTCTTCCTCTTATTTCTTCCTTTTTTTTTTTCATTTCTACATTAAAGAAATTTTTGAGGTTGTGTTTGGATAATATTAGTATCAGGCAAGTTGCACAACTCATTCCTACCACACGGTGCAGGTACAGCATAGGAGTAAACTTTTTTTTTTCCAACTTTTTTTATTTGAGTTAGGAACAGGATTGTTTTACATGACAATCCCATTTCCCTTC